ACAGCGGCGGAAAGGAAGGCGGGCGGCCGCGCCACACGATGCTGTCTGGGCTCCGGGATTCGATGGGGAAAACACGCCCCTCCGTTTTCTCTCGGCGAGTCAAGCCTCGGTTTGCAAAGACAGCGCGGCTGAGGCCACGCCCCCTCCCGGGAGGCACGCCCCCGGCCTCGCCGCGCCTCGCCCGCCGCCGGGGAAACTCACCTTCCCCAGTTCGGGAGACTAGTCGGGGTAGCGACGGGCTTCCAGCCGTGGCGCCCGGGCGCCCTCAAATACAGGCGTATAGCACCTCGGATGCTCTTGGGGCTACTTCTATTGGCCGCGCTGGCCCGGGCGAGCCGCCCCCTTTCACCTCCCCTCGGCCCATTCCTCCCGCGAACTCTTTCTTCTTGGTAAGAAGGAAACTCAGAGAGGGAGCGGCGCCTGGAGTAGAGAGCTCCGCCAAGCCGCTAGTCCTCAGCGCTCTTCTAGAGACAAGGCTGGCGGGGTGCAGAGAGAGCTTCATCCGCAACCGTTGAGGCCAATTAACAAGAGAAGCGGTTCCCCGGAGGCCCCGTCGTTTCAGCCGTCTAAGATCGGCCGCACTGACGAAACAATGCTGCTTTTTATGGCCCAGGTAGCGGAGCCTCCGCTGCGTTATGCCTGGGGCTGGGAAACCGGATCTCGCTGGCTTGCGTCCTAAGTACGTATAAAGTGATCTTTGTAAAGACAAGAAAGCCGCTTGCGCTTTTAGGCGCAAATCCGAAACTGTCTCAAACGCGTTCTTCTTTCTCACCGTCCCCTGCACCACTGTGTGTGTGGGAAGGCACGGGGCGATCCTGTGCAAGACAAGACGTCCCCTGCACAAGGCAGTCTCTTCCTTTATCGCCTGCGTTAAGCTTGCTTCCCCAACCCGGCGCCCCTCATGCTGGTATGCAACTCCCATGATTGGAGAATCCGGGAATCGTCCTCGGCATTTCGATGGTTTCAGGCTGGGGAGAGCCGGGGCGCTTACCGTCTTTCGCTTGTGGTGAGAGTGACGCGAACGAGGCGTCTGTGCCTGGGCGCGGGACAGCCCCACATTACTTTGCTGAACTGAAGCAAAGAAGCTTCTCCCTAGTAAGTTTATTCTGTTCTTGTCCACAAACAGGATGCTTTCAGAATATGGCCCAAGACTGTAAGCCGCAGATAAATAAACATTCATATTTCACAGAAAACATGAGAAGGATGTGTGGTAATGTAGCTCCTTCTAGCGTCAACATGGCTAAATTTCAGAGGAAACATTCTTAATCTCCAGAAAAGACAGTAACGGAATCATACACCCTTATAGGCCAGCATGCACCTAATTCAGTTACAAATCGCGCATTGTTAGAAATGCAAACTCAGTTCATTATTAGTTCTACAGTTATTTGCCCTATACAAGTAGCACAGGAACCTTTTATTTCATCCCTCAGGCTGCAATCCCAGCAAATAAATGTGCCATTCGCCCCAGGCTCTTTAGTGACAGATAACTGGGGGACATCTGGGGGACATCATGCATCTCACTTTCTTAAAGCATACAGTGGAGGAGTAAAGGAAGGGTATGTGTAAAATATAAGCCCATTATACAGGCAGATTCTTGCAAGTGTTCTGATTGTTGCAACCCCAACTGCATGTCAGTATACTTGTTTGCAAACCTGGCTCAATTGTGCAACATGCGAAGGAGCCTACAGAGTGTCACAGCCTTTCAGACCAAGGAAAAACTTGGGGAAAGACACTGTTTAAACCAACTGATTTCAGCATCCCTCGGAATTTAAAATGCTGCTTTTTCAGGTTCTTTATGCAGCTAGCTTTGGTATAGCATTATATATAATGGCTGTGTGTGTGTGTGTGTGTGTGTGTGTATATATATTGCATGCAGCTGGATAGCATAGTGGTTAGAGTGCTGCCCTTTGATGCGGGAGACTGGGGTTCAAATCCTGGCTGGTACCTACCTTACCATTAGGGACCCCCTAATGCTTCATCTGCCTCCCTCACATATGAGAGTGACACTAAGAGAGTCATGCCAGCTTGGACTTCACCTGGATTAACAAGGTCCACACCAGATGTTGGGGAACCAGGACAATCTGATGGAAGTGGGCTACTGGAACAAACCATACATGGATGAGACAAAAGAACCTGGAATTGATGGGATGCTACTACAACAGTAGACCTAACCAGACGGGATATATGAGATGTATTGTGATAGAATGGAATTATGAAGGCCAGGCTCAGGGAGAAAAACATTTTCTTAGCTCGCCGGAGGAGTGTGGGAGATACAAGAGGATGAGACTTGCACCTCCCTGAGGAATTCACACTGTTGTGGCTGGGGGGCTTTTGGGACTGGGGGTTTTGTCTGGGGGGAGT